TTTTCCATCCACATAGGTCCTGATGAGTTCAAACCGAGCTCCCCCTTCCCTCCCAGTATGTGTGGTCTGTGAAAGTTTTTTGTGGGTAATTTGCTAACTTGAGGAATTGAAAACTAAAACGCTTTAATTTTGGAAAGATGTTCCCCATCTACGTAAGAATTGAGTTCAAACCCAGCCCACAAGTGTACGTTTTTCCCACGTGTGGGCCGGTGAAAGTTTTTGGCAGGTAAGTTACTAATTCGGGAATCGGAAAAACTAGAAAGCTGAAATTTTTAGGGGGTTTTTTCTTGTCGTGACAGCCAGTATCCATTCTTTTAGCTAGAAGCATCTGCCGAAAAAAATAGTGCTGTGGTCGACAAAAACCCGTGAAGAACTGTGCAGAAAACGCATCTTCGCACCGGCAGTCGGTGCGTCGGTTAATTATTATTCCTCTCACCTTTTGATTTAATTCTGTAAATAATGACATTTTTTAGTTATTCTGTTTGATATTCAGCGACGCGCACTAATGTTAAATGAATGCTAAACATTATTAAGTTATTTTCAGCCTGAACGTTTGCTAACGAATGCTTCTTATGATACACGGTCGGACGTATGGAGCCTTGGAATTACATTGGTAAAACCATTTCAGATTCCAACGTTTTAAAAAGAATGCCAAAAACGTGTTTAAATGATGTTTTTTTTTTTTTTTTCCAGCAAGAAGTAGCTCTTGGCGTATTCCCTTATCCAAAGTTCAACGAAAACGAACTCTTTATACAACTGCAGCAGGTTGTTTATGGCGACGCGCCGATAATGGGCCCATCGGATGTGTACTCAGTAAGAACAGTGCAGTTCATAAACTCTTGGTACAATTTTTCACCTTCATTTTCTGATCAGCAGAAGTTGTTTCATATTGCCGAAATTGTTCGGAAAATTGGCGTAGCAGTTCGCTATTGACGATGTTTTTCGGATGCCTTCTGGGTGCTAGACGCAATGGTGCCAGATGCCTTAGTCCTCGGCTACCGCCTAATTAATCTATGCGCTCCATCTTCTCGAGGGCCGGCCAAGTGACCATTTAATTTCGAATACCCTTCATGGATACGTGGCACTCACTGACTGCCAGCGAAGTAGAAGACATACTCCACCTATCAAATTTGATTGTTTTGAGTGCACGCATATCATCATATGACGAAGATTTTGAATGCTCATTTCATGAGCAAACATTGAAAACATTCATCGCTCCGCTGTCTGTCTGCCGCAGCATTCGCTCTTTTGCTTTCTTCAACGACCATATATCCATACGCCAGTGACGCCAGCACATGGTGCCAAGGAAGTGGTAATAGTCTTTTTGTTGCAGCATTTTTAAAAAAAAAAAAATCAAGAATGCTGTGAAACCCACCCAGTGGGCAGCCTTCCTACGTGCTTTCTCCGGCTAGAAATTGCGACGCATGTTTGCTTCCTAGCTAGCGTAGGCACATTTGTCAACTTTTACATGAGTACAACCTGCTTGCAGTCTGGACATTGACCCACTTCGCTTTATATCATTTTTTTGGTTTCAAGCCATTTCTTCATTTCGAGGGTTAAGCTGCTGCAGCAGCATCTCCCTCATTTCGTGGGCATTGTTCGTTGAAGACTCTGTCATTTTTGAAGCGCTAGCGGTTTAGCTATTTGCTGCTGCTGCTGCTGCTGCTTGAGCCTTACTTCCAGCCCAGATTGAGAAATCTTATCTGGAGACAAGCTGTGAAAAGCTTGGGCGGTGTGGGATCATCTTACGTCACGCTTCACTCGATCAGTATCTGTTTTAGGGAGGAAAAAAATTGCATATTTGTCGGGCAGCTTGTATTACTTAATTTTCCTGTCGATTGCTTCTCCGTCGATAATTCATGGTGCAGGACCAGTAGGAGATAGAGAGGGAGTTCTTTAGGGCGAAAGTTTGGTTTGTCGTGCTGTAATTAACTTAAGGATCAAAATTGTCTGTCAGCTGCTGCTGTTTGAGGAATCTTGTTAATTGGTTAGAGACAATCTTCTAACATGAAAGAGCAAGTGAAGCGGGCTATAATTTTTCAGATTTTAAAGCTTTTATAGCAAGTAGGTTTTAATTCATTATTTCAGTTTTTACGCTTGCCTTGAAATTTTTCCAGGAATTTTAATTTTTAGCCTTGTAAAAGAAACCGAAGCACGTCCAACTTATGCAATGCTTATGGAAACGGAATATTTTAAATATTACGATGGCATTGATGGTACTCCGGAGTATGTGTCAAAACATGTGCGGCAAGCACTGAGTCTACAAAAACAGAGCAGTGCCTTATAAATTAGCAGTGAAATTGGTTTTGCTTTTTGGGTAGTTCCACTTCATTCTACGATATTTTCTTCTTTTCCCTTTCCACCTTTTTGCCATCGTTGCATTTTTTTGAAACGGTTCTGGAGGTTTTTTTCAACGTTAAAATATTTCTGCTTGTTATGATTAAGATTTATCAGTTCGTAGTTTTTCGTTAAATTTCTTTCTGCTATGGCATGAACAGTGCGGGCAAGCAATACGCTTCGAAAATATGCATTTCGTGTGTTTACAGTTCTCTTTTCAGGTGACATC